TTGTAAATATGATATTCCCCTCTAAAGTAATTTCTACAGGCAAAATTTATCACTGTATTCTTGTATGAAATAAAATTATTCTATATACTATCACTATCTTAAACCATTTGCCTCCTGCTATGTAGTTAAGTGAACAACTACACTTCCACCCCGTGTATATTTGCAAAAATTAATCACTGCACTAGGTGATCTTGTTGCATAGCTGTATTGGTTAAAGAAGGCTATAGCTTTGTAACAATATGATCATCATATGATTTTTGTAAACAACTTTTAATACCTAAAATTTAAATATTCATATCTCACTAAATATTAAATCAATTTTAATAATTTTACTATCATTAGAATCAGAAAAACCTGCTTTATAATTTTTACTTAATAGTCTAAAATAATTTGCTTAATAAAATTTTATAAATTTTTAAAAAGAAAAAATAAATACTACGAGATTATATATAAGTATCCTCTACCCTTAAAAATATTGTTTTTTTTGTATAATCCCAGCAAATTTGAGAAATTTCCAAGAACTTTATGACATATGTATGTCCATTTTTTAAAAATAATATAACCTCCAAAAGTTTTACTACTAAAAATAAAAGGTTTAATTTATATATTACAAAATTTTGGTAAAATTTAGCTGTGATTTTGATAATTTTTACTAGTGACGTATTTTAATTTATACATAAAACCCTGTTGTACTACTGAGATCATATAATAAATAATCGATATGTACTCTACTTTTAACAGTATCAGGATGCAAGAGGACTTGTCCACACATGTAATAATTGACCAATGATTAAATTGCAATCAAGTAATATAATACGATTAGGAATAACAAAAAAAATTGTTTATTCTTAAAATTGTTTATATCTTAAAAACTTACATAACAAACTGACTTTTGTGCTCCAACAAAATTTTTTTCTTGTCAAATTTTACTTTATAATTTTATTTTATTCTTAATAATCCAAATGCTTATTAAGCAATAAGAAATGCATTGATAATGACATGTGCAGACAAATTCCCCTACACGCTGTGTCTTTCTTCTAGTTTCATATTGATAACCACCTCTAACATAAAGATAAATCATTCTATTAATATTCCAATTTTGATAAATTAAAAATTTTGTATTATTTCGGGAAGAAATGCAGGTTTTGTAAGCCTATTCACTAAAACATACTAATTTCAGAATTTAAACTGGATAATGGATTAGTGCATATCTATTACAGCTACAAATTGCTCTTGTACTTAGTAGTTACTGATAGGTTTAAAATCAACATAGTTTTATAATGCTTTATTGTCTTTATCGAAACACTACTTTATTTTAGTTGATCGCTTAATTTAGTATAAACCCTTTTTAGGCCTAAAATGCAAAAATAGTTTTCAAGAAAAATATAATATTTTAAAAATAACCTTTGTACAGTATATTGAAGTATTTAAGTTTATTATTAGTTAATTTATATTTAGTTAGCTTAGATAACCTATATGAATATTCAAATTTTTGTATGTCTACCCGGGTATTACCCGGGTATGTTTACCCGGAAATACTTATTTGTGCGAGTGATACAAGCCCAAAAAAGAAAATTCAACGTAACAATAAACTAAGTTGGTGAAAATAAAAATTACGCTAAAGTTAGATGATATAGAAATAAATGGTTTGTTTACCCGGGTAGCTGAGTTTATAACCCGGGTATCATCACTATATTACACACAATTATTAATAAAATTAATACATTACACAAAATCAATAATTATATGAGAAAGTGTTAATAAAAACCAAGCAAATTGTTTTTAATAATTTTTTTTAAACTTTAAATTAAAATATCTTAACACTATTGAACCAAACTTGATAAATTTTTTTTTATTTTAATTTTATTTAATTATAAAATTAAAATAAAAAAAATTAGGCATGGCCTCACCTTTTAAAATTTTTTTAAAAAAAAAATAAATAAAAATTTATCAAGTTTGATTAAATAGTTGTTAAGATATTTGCTTGGTTACTATTAACACCCCCTATATATATATATACAAACACGATTCTAAAAAAAATTTCTAATCCTCTCGTAAAAATTAAAAAAAAAATTTTAATTTATTATAGAATTTATAAAAAATCAATTTTTTACAAAACTTTTTTTGTTAATTTGGATTCTTTTTCTCAGCACTAAGCTTATATCATTAGTTTAAAAAGAAAAAATGATATCGTAAAAAAAGATAAACAAGACCCAAATTATTTGACAATGATTTAATGGTCAATAATAATATTTTACTTGGATACAAGTATTAATTTAATGGTGCAGTTTCTCGTTTTAACCAACGTAATCCTGGACTGTTTGGAGTCATTAAAGGTTCTAATTTTTGTAGACATTCAGCATTAAAATCATTGAGCCATTTGTGCTCAATTGGACTCAAGAGAGATACATCCACGAGACTTGTTTGAATAGGAACATATGTTATATGTTCGAATCCAAGGTAGCCTCGTTCACCAAAATTATTTGGTGTCTCGACCTCGCGGACAAACAAGACAGTCTCAATACGAATACCAAATTTATCATCTTCATAATAACCTGGTTCATTAGTTACTGTCATACCTGCTTGAAGTGGTACATCATTGAACGCAATCCGAGTACCTATACCTTGCGGACCTAAACGAACATGTATAAATTGTGAATATTATTTCGATTCAAACTCAAATCATAAATTTAATTAAGTCTTACCCTCGTGAACATTCAAAAAGCATCCCACTCCATGACCTGTTCCGTGACGATAATCTAATCCATCCCTCCATAAAGAAGTTCTTGCAAGTACATCTAATACGTATCCTGTAGTAGACGAATTTTAGAACAAGAAAAATTCACTATTAATTATTATTATAAATTTTATATGGAACAAAAAGTAAAAAATTACCAGTAGTTCCTTTAGGAAAGATAGCTCTATCGATAGCGATGTGTCCTTGAAGAACACGAGTAAAAGCACGCTTTTCTTGTTCAGTTGGCTTCCGCAAATGAATAGTACGTGTCACATCAGTGGTTCCATCTCTGGTAATCAAGAAATAATATATAAATAGAAATGCAAACAATTATTTAAAGATAGTTAATGACTTACTTATATTGACCGCCAGAATCGCATAAATATAAAAGATTCGGATCAATAACGGCACAAGACTCTGGTTGTGGTTGGTAATGTATAACAGCAGCGTTAGGTCCTGATGCGGAAATGGTTGCGAAGGAAGGACCCATAAAGTCAGACTGTTCTCTAAAATACGGTTTACAATGTCTTAATTCAGTAAACTTTTAATATTAGCGAACGAACCACGAAATTAGTACGAGTACATACGATCTGAATTGTTCTACTTTAATAGATCCGTCCATTTCAGTTACAGTTTTTCCATTCGCTATTTCATCTTCCAACCATGCAAAATAATTGATCTAGTATATAGAAATAAATGATGAATTTGAAAACCATTGGTTACACATAACATAGTTTGAAAAGTATAAGTACGCATATATATATGCATGTATAAATACATACTAATGCACAAGCATCTCTTAAATGACATTGTCTCATGCCTTCCAATTCGGCTTCATTTTTGATTGCCTTGGCATCAGTAACCGGTGAACGAGTTTCTTCAATATTGTCCTAATTACAGTTTGATTAAAATAATTATAAAAAAGGTAACTTAGAAATGTCTCAAGAGAATACATACTTCACCGGCCGCTCTAGCTATAGCCCAGCTTGTTCGAGTACTTATAAGGAGTTTCTTAAGATTAAAAATGACGATTAGGAAAAACCGAAAGTGACAGGAAACGACGTTGTAAAGAAGTCAAATAAAATTGCAACCTGGTTATCGTTTTTCAATTTGACAGAATGTTCTTGCAAATCTTCGAATATTGCATCATAAGGTCGGTATTTAACATCAGGTCCCAGATGATCTCTGACTTCCTTGTTTAATTTACGATCGTCGATGTAAAGAATAGCTTCATCCTTGGTGATAAGTGAATAGGAAAAGAAAACAGGATTGTATTCAACTTCGGAGCCACGAAGGTTAAAGAGCCCTACACGTATTAAAAGAATGTTACACGAGTGGGTTGACTTAATAAAAATATAATAGAAAAAATATTAAAATTTTACTAACATGCAATTTCGTCGAGACCCGAAACAACAAAACCGTAATAATTTTCCTTAGTGAATTCTCCACGAAGATTTGCAATTTTATCAGTGTGAGAGCGCCCTAATTATATGTAGTCAAGTTATTAAATGGAAGCATCAATCATATTAATAACGTATGTTAATTACATCATATGTTTACCAGAATAACGTTCTTCTAATATTATAACCTCCTTTGTTGGACGTGGAGGTCTCTCATTTCCCCACACCAAATCAATTAGATTCTGACTGATAGGTGTCAAACAAGAGCCAATTTTCTCCAGAGATTCGGATAATGTTCTAGCATCAGCTTTAAAAACATGAATATATATATATTATAAAGTCTGTGTAACACTATTATATCATTATTAAAAGGTTAAAATGAATAAAATAAAACTTACGTGAGGTAATTAATGTGGGATCAATTCCTATTTTTGAACCTTTTTGAAGATTCTATAAATACGAATAATATATGCGTACGTGAATTTATTTTTTTTTTTCTAAATTGATAAAGATAAATTATAAATAAAATGAATATTCACTTGCACCAAATACTCTTGCCAGGTGGGAACATCTGGCAAACCTTGTTTCATCAATGTCCAGTTACTATCCAACTGTTTGCTCGCTTGGAGAAAATATCTACCATCCGTAAAAAGTGCAGCAGCATCATTAGATACTATAGCTAATCCTAAAAAGAAAAATAT